GAGGGGGGGGCGGGAGTAGTGTTTTATTGGTGGTTTTTTTATATCCTCGTTGTTAAGGCATGCTAAACAAGGGACCAGTATGTTATTCATAGGTGTTTCCTCTTTGGAACTTGAACCTTGAGTAATTGATTATAATTGAGGAAGGAAACTCATTAAGCATTTTCTTGTTAGCCAACAGTTTTATGCAAAACTTCTACATTTTGATGGAGTATGGGGCTTTTTTGTTGCACCCATAGCTGTGTTCAGCTGAGTGCTCTGCAAGAAGAATTAATCATGTATTCCCTGACATAGCCATAACAATGCTTAATGCAAGGAATAAGGTTTGATGCTTTTAATGCTAGTTAAGTCAAATATTACTTTTTTGATTTCTTGCCTTACTGCTATTTCGAATTGGAATGAGCCAGTTGAGAAGAGTTATACCTAAAAGCATAGTGTATTTCTAACCCTGTTTAGAAACATGGCTGATGGAAAAAGAACGCTCATAGAAATGCAGTGACATGCTCCTTTGATTGTTGAAAAATGCACTTTATGATCAACAGACAGACACAGCCCCTGGCCCTGGCAATTCACAGTTTTAGAACATACTGGCAGTCTTAATTTAGAGTGTTCTTCCCAAGGACAAGGAGGAATATCCCTGATGGAGACCTGAATGGGACAAAACCCACTAGAAAATGTAATCCCCTTTTCCTCCTCTTAGAGCAACTCTTCTTCTAACACCACTACAGCCAAACAGTAGTTTTATGCACTGATAACAGTAATAAGGTGTCCTGTGACAAAGTTAACTTTTCCTAATTACGAATTGCATGCCCTTCTCTCCAAGTGGGTTTTTCAGAAGGTCTGCTTGGCCAGAAGCTCGTTCACTATGCAATTTACAGCTATGTCAGATACCATGCTAGATCCCAGAGCAGATGGAAGCATTTCTGGTTGTTTCTAATCTGTTTGCTGTTACTGGACTCCTCAGAGCAATTGTTTGTGAGTTGTGGAATGCCATTTGGTCTGAAAAAAAATTAATTTCTTCTGAAGTGTGTTCCCTTCCTGTCCCCCTCTCTGCTCTCTGTGCATGTCTTGTCCAAGGAGGCAATCGTATGTTTTCAGTTCTGATGTCACTGGTTTTTTTTCTCTCTTCTTCCCCACCCCCTTTTCTTTCAGTCCACAGCCATGAGCGAACCACAGTGCTACTACAATGAAACCATTGCCTTCTTTTATAACCGAAGTGGAAAATATCTAGCCACTGAATGGAACACTGTCAGCAAGCTTGTAATGGGACTGGGGATTACAGTCTGCATCTTCATAATGCTGGCCAACCTCTTGGTTATGGTGGCTATTTATGTCAACCGCCGATTCCACTTTCCTATTTATTACTTAATGGCCAACTTAGCCGCTGCGGACTTTTTTGCAGGGCTGGCCTACTTTTACTTAATGTTCAACACAGGACCCAACACTAGAAGATTGACTGTAAGCACCTGGCTTCTCCGTCAGGGTCTCATTGACACTAGTCTGACAGCCTCTGTAGCCAATTTATTGGCCATCGCTATTGAGCGGCACATTACAGTTTTCCGAATGCAGCTACATACTCGGATGAGCAACCGGCGAGTGGTGGTCGTAATTGTTGTTATCTGGACTATGGCCATCGTCATGGGCGCCATACCAAGTGTCGGATGGAACTGTATTTGTGATATCACTCACTGCTCCAACATGGCACCGCTCTATAGTGACTCCTACCTGGTCTTCTGGGCTATTTTCAACCTGGTCACTTTTGTGGTCATGGTGGTCCTATATGCTCATATCTTTGGGTACGTCCGCCAAAGGACTATGAGAATGTCCAGACACAGTTCTGGACCCCGCAGGAATCGGGACACCATGATGAGCCTCCTGAAGACTGTGGTCATTGTTCTCGGTAAGTGCTTACATTGCCTCCCCTGTTCTCCCCACTCTGTTTCTTATCGGGCGATTTCTGTAATGCATGTCCAGCTTCTGGGAGGTCGGCAGCATTTGGAAGACTCTAGAAGAGGTGGGAGCAGTAAGAACCCCTGACATTCATTACTCTGTGGGGACAATCAAGCTTTTTTATGGAAGTGGGTATCAGGGACTTGGTCACTCAGTCCTCTAACATGAAACTGATGAAAATCCAAGACCTCGAGATGTAAAGTGGTGCTTTTTTTTTGCAGCAATGCAGGTTTAAGAACAGTTGTAGCAGTCTATCCTCTGCAGCATTTGCCCTTTTGCCTTTGAAGATGCCAAATGGCTGCAACATTAAAATAGTACAGGGAAGGCTCAGTCTTGTATTGGAATGCCTCTTGCCTCCTTTTTGCCACCCAAAAGGTGTTGTCTGTGTTCAGGCAGGACTCCCGTGTCTGGAGAACAATGAGGGACCACAAGCTATTGATGAAAAGATTTTGTGTGTTAAGCAGGACCGCAGGTACAGTTCACTCAGGTCTATAATGTTTGGCAAATCTGAGTATCTGCCAATTTGTTAATACAGAAGAGTAGCATGTGAGACACCTGTATGATGCTCCACTGCTCGGGAGGTGCCTAAGCTTCAGGGCTTGGAAAACAGGGAAACTGAGGCAAATACAATGACACACTTTGGAGTCAGAAGGTTCCTGCCTTTTCGTGAATGGCTGTAGTTGGTTTTTGTCCAGAGGCCTCAGTTTCCTTATGCAAAAGCACAGCCTGGTTACTGGGTACCGTTCCCTGCTGATGTTCTTTGCAGTTCTGCTCTGTGTTGCTGCAGATGACAGTGAGCTGCAGGCAGGCAGGGGTGGTACCAGCTGTCTCATTGTCCCAGCCTGTGTTTCCACCCATGAGGTCCTCTAGCAAGGTACACAGGTCACTTGTGAACCTACTACCCTGTTGCATGAAGTTGCAATGCAACTCTACATAGTCAGCAAAGCCCAAAACTTAGCCCCAGTCCTTGTTTTGTCATCCTGATTTCCCTGGCTTTACACCGTTAGCAGTTACTGTCTGCACAGACACGGCAGGATGGTTAGAGACTTGATGTGCATCACTCTGTCAACTCCTGTGTTAGTCTAAGAATGCACATGGTCCTCTCTGACCTAGTGATTAGCTTTGTAACCAGAATATGAACTGTGTAGTTGACTAACCTGCCCAGCCACTGGTAAGTTGTATTCCTACGTATCCTGCCCTTCTCCTCTGGGAAAGAATGTCTGAGATTAGTGACTGAGGCTTTAGTGGTGGGTAAAGCCTCTCCTGACTGCCTGGGGGTTTGGAAATCTGTTCATCCCCACCTCCATTATCCTCCTTTCAGAAGGCAAGATGAGGTTGAGAACACAGAGGAAATGCAGGTTTTGCAAGCTATTTTTTAGGAAATAGATCTTTGATTTCCCCTCCAGAAGGAACTGCTGTTCATACATCAGCATCAGTATTTTCCTACAAGCTGAAAGACTGCCTCAGACTTGAAAAAAAAAGGTGGTGGGAAATAGTCTAAGCCCTTATACCAGCGCCATGCAGAGTAGTATGAATCACTAAATAGTCACTGAACAAATATCACAGGGCAGCTAATGCCCAGCATGTATGGGACTAGAGGTATGGATGCAGCTGGAAGGGCAGGTAGTGACTGCACTCTGCTCCGTTCTCCTGTGAGCAGAGGTCACAGGGAAGATGTGCAGGTCACCCAGTGTGGCCATAACAGCAGAGGTCTGTACGGAACATAAAGTAGCCTTTTTTTCCTTCCTAATAAGTATCGTATTTTTTCCAGCTATTGTTCTGGAAACAGTGGAACAACTCTAGAGGTTAAGTAGCATTAGCCAAACTGAAGGTGACTCAAGTTTAGCTGCTGATGTAGTTCAATAATATTTCTGTTTCCTCACTGGGGCTATTTGGAGTAAGATTTCTCAGGGCTGCAGGTAGCACATGTTGAAGTTTTCTTCAAAATTCAAACAGGACCTTAGTTCTTGTTACTGGTGCAGTTAAATGCATTCAGTGTTGTTCACATGCTCTGCTTTAGCACCCCTATTAATCTGCATAAAACACCATTTACAGAGAGAGGTAACATATAATTTTATTAAATGGGTGAAAACAAGGGCAATCCCAGGCTGTGACACTCTTCATCTTGTGTTTGTATCTCCCACTTTGGTATTATTTTTTTCCGAAGCAGTGTGGTTTCTTTGGTTGGACAAGGTCAGCCATAGGGCTATG